ATCTCTTTTTTAGATGGTTTAAATTTTTGTCTGTCTGTTGTGTAGTAAATTTTGATTTTGGCTCTAACAATTCTGTGATCACTTCCTACGGAAATCATGTTTATGACCGTAACGTCTTGTACTATGCTCTTTTCTTTGGATAGGATGTAATCAATCTCATTTTTTGTTAAACCATTAGGCGCGACCCACGTCCATTTTCTCTGTGGTTTTTTATTGAAAAAGGTATTCATCGCATATAGATCGTTCGTTTCCATATAGTTCATTAATGTTTTTCCTCTTTCGTTTCGTGTTCCATATATCATACTTTTCAATTAATTTTCGTGCCATATAGTTTAAATCGTCATAATCTTGAGCCATTATTACTTGGTCGTCTGCAAAGTTGAGCGTATATACCATAGTATTATCCCCGTAACCTCATTGTCCTGCATTTTTGTTTCCATCTTTTTCTACTTTCGAGGTATATTTTAAATAAAGTGGGAGACAAACATCATCACTGCTTTTATTTTTGTTATTGATTGGTTGTATAGCACTTTGATGGCTTTTATTAATTCTATATTAATATTCGTGCATTCCATTGATTGCCACAGCTTCTTCAGTGGAACGCTGCGCGCTGTCGTAGGCTTTCCGTAGGTCGATGAACAATATATGAATCTCTTGATTCCGTGCCATCTTTTTTTCTATTATCTGGGTTGAGGAGAAAATGTGATCAATAGTGGATCGACCCGTACGAAATTCTGCTTGTTCTTCTGCTTCATAATCTAAGTATTCTCTCTTGATTCGGTTCTTTAAAACCTTTTCGTATATTCGACTCATAGATCCGGTTACAGCTATTCCTCGGTAATTTTCACAACTAGTTTTATCACTCTTTTTATATATAGTACTGAGGTATGATATCTTCCATTCCGTATTACTTCTCCTATATTACTTCTTTATTATTTTCTTTTCTCAATTTTTTTATCAGTTTCCAGCTTTCTGTGCTTCTGGTTCCTCCTAGATAAATATTTATTCTTTGAAAAATAAGGCTATTATCGAGCACAGGTTAATTAAATCTAGCCCAAGTACTTTCGCTTAAAATAGCATCTTCAGGGGCATCTGAAATAAGCCAAGAAAACGTTTTTTAGATGAAGGAAATTAGTTAACTTCGATAAAAAACTCGAAGGTAATAGATGAAAAAAAAGTTTTTAGATTAACGTTTTAGACTTACTTCGTCAAAATATAAACTATCCGGCAAGCGTAGAATGTGGAAACATTAATAATAACATAAAATTGTACAAAACACTACATTAAAACGAGGACAAACAGTTTAAAATTACTTTAAAGATTCTACGCTACATTCTTTGTCAGTATCGGGAGGGATAATGATCTAAGCGGAAATGATACGGTGACATGTGACATATGACAACTTTGATAGGCAGTCAAAGTTATGGATCTGTGATCAGCACATATTAAAATTATGTATGAGTTGTCATTGGCCAAAGGTCCAACTAGAACTACTACTGAAAAAATCAGCTGATGAAGTATGACATATAGGATATTTTGATTTAAACTAGATTGCATAATCCAGATCTCACACTCACACCCGTCTGTAATAATAAGGTTGTAGGAGTCTAAATGAAGTGTACATAAAGTGTGAATGAAAGAAATAGACCAAACGATCTATTGGACAGTGGGTAGTTGACTACAATAAAATGGTCTAACAGGCACTGTCAATACTGTAAAAACGAGAAAAAAAAAATTGACTATGAAATTGAAATATTAAAATTAAATCAGAATTGAAAGCAGTGTGTAAATGGGTATAGTTCAAGTAGTTCAGTTAAACCTCAAACCAATGGGGGAACTCAAAACTAATATGTAATAGCATTACTAAGACCAACTGACCAACAGGTGTTGAAATATAAAACTGTGGAATTAGTATATGTAGATTATGCAGAGGTATGAAGAGTGAAATCAACTCCAACTGTGGATCAATTGAATCTGAACAAGCTAGTTGTGTAAATTGTTAAATACAATAGTAATGCTGAACAAAGCATGAAATTGGTAGATTCTTAATGTATAAACTCAGTGCAGGAAGTCTAGACAGCCGAGCTGGGTCTACTACGAGGTGAAGCTGTAATGAAGTTTTTAAAAATAAGTTTAAATTTAGTACAGTTTAAATTAATTTGAGTGTTAAGACAATGAGAGTTTCCATTCGTTTCCTTTGTGATCTCCAAATCTTCCAATAGATCCAACTCCAAATAGTTTTTCTTTCTACTGATGTCATGCAAAATAGACGAACCAGTATTGGTGTTGAAATTGTATTTACTAGACTCTAAATGTTGACCAAAACTTAAAGAGTTTGGTCTTTTCAAATATTCTGATATTCTGGTAGATAGCTTTCTAATGGTTCTGCCTACATAAGAGGCATCACAATCATCACACTTTAATTTGTAAATACCACTTTTGTCAAGTGTGTTCAGCCTGTCTTTGGTGTTAATTAAAAAGGAACCTACAGTGTTGTGTGACTTAAAGGAAATTTTGATGTTTTCTTAAGCTTAAATATTGTTGGTATAGTTGTCTTTTACATTTTATTTCTTCCTCTATTTCGTTATCCCACCAGTATGGTTTGTTTACCTTGGGTTTTATGTAGTATCCCATTGCTTCAAATGCTGCTTCGTGTTAACAGTTTTTTATATGTTCATATAACTGGTCGATATTCTTAGGGCGGGAATTTGTAGCTTCTCATCCAATCTATTTTTGAATAAGTATTGGGTACTTTCTTCATCTAGGCTTCTGATCTTCGTTCCTGTATCTTTTCTGTCTTGTTTATGTCTATATGTGTTTCTCTCTGTTGTCTTCGGATTAGGAAGTGTATTTTTGAACGTAATAAATAGTGATCGCTACCGCATGTTGCGCTTCTCTGAACTCTTACATCTTGTACTCTCAGTCGGGTTTTTTGTTTTGTTATAATATAATCGATTATTGATTTTATGATTCGTGTTTCCTGAATCTATGTATAGCTATGTATCAGTTTATGTGGAAAGTATCCATTTAAGATTTTGAGTTGATTCTGGTTGCATATATCTATGAATATTTCACCATTGTTGTTCGTGGTGTCTTCTCCGTATTTTCCTACTATTTCGATGTTCACTTATAAAATATGAGCATTAGTTTAGTTAATAGAGAATATTTTATTACTAGACAAAATATGACAATCTTTGTTTTGGGAGCACAACGCAAGATAGTTTATTATCAAACAAGCGCAAGTATTTTCAAACCAAAAACAGAAACCGAGAAATTATAGATACCCATTTTTCTATTATAGTATTCTAGCGGGTTACCTCCATTTTGCCCACCTCCTTTTTATTTTGGGTATGTTTTATAATGTTTTTTATAATATGCTTAATGCTTGCTGCACATTATAAAACACATAAAAGACATTATAAACATTAAGCATGGTCTTATTAAAGCAGTCCAAAGTCTGTAGAATGGAACGACTGCAAAAATTAAAACTGGATCAAGGATATCTGAGGGATTTAAGGTCACGAAAGGATTAAAGCAGGTTTGCTGTATTTCGCCTACCCTTTTCAAAATTTATCTGGAACAAGCACTCAAGCTATGGAAAAGAAAATGTAATGGCATGGGAATCCCTCTCAATGACGAGACTACACTGTACACCTTATGTTTCGCTGATGACCAAATACTGATTGCTCAGGATCATGACGACTTGAGTTACATGACTCGGAAGCTAATAGAAGAATATAACAAATGGTGTCTCGAAGTCAACATTAAGAAAACTGAAGCCATGTGTATTGGAGGGACAAAGCAGTCCATTATATTAGACGATGGGGTAGAAATTAGACAATGTGATGAATACAAGTACCTGGGTATGAAGATAACTCAAGATCGAACACTCGATGATGCTATAAAAGACAGAAACATACAGGGTAGAAAAGCCATATCCATGATGAACGGTATTCTGTGGGACCAAACAATATCTAAAGCGAACAAACAACTCATATACAACACTATACTTATGAAGTGTAATCTCATATGGCAGTGAAGTTTGACCAATGAAACAAAGAAGAGAGAAACTGTTATTAGCAACAGAAATGGACTTCTGGAGAAGAGCAGCAGGCAAATCAAGAAGAGATCGGATACCAAATGAGAGAATACGAGAAATGATAGGAGTCAAGCATACAATAGTTGTTGACATAAAAACAAAACAGTTAATATGGTACGGCCATGTACAGAGAATGCCAGATGACAGGATTCCGAAACAGATTTAGACGTGGACACCACAAGGGAGAAGAAAAAGAGGAAGGCCGAGAAGAAGCTGGAAAGAGGGAATTGAAAAAGAACTAGAAGAAAGAGAAATCCCTCCAGGCCTATGGCTAAATAGAGAAGAATGGCGGTTAGGAGTCGGAGAACGCTGTGAACCGATAGTAGTAGTATGTGTTTTATAATGTAATGTATTAAATGGAGGTGGGCAGGACACGTCGCTAGAATGAAGGATAATAGGTGGACCAAAAAAAATCTTGGAGTAGAGACCGAGAGCGGATAGACGAAACCCACAAGATGGACTGACGACATAAAGAGGATTTGTACCAACTGGGTTACAGCAGCGCAAGATAGATCTGAATGGAGGTATTTCGAGGAGGCCTATGTTCAGCAGTAGACGAGTGGACGACTATGGGCTGATGATGATTATAGCGGTAGTTTACAAAAGTGCCATTCTGTACATACTACGACAAGCGCGAACGTTAGAAAGCAATTACCACTACAGTGATAAAAAAGTCACACACATCTTGTCGGTTTTTGTTTTTTTATTTATAGATACCTACCCATGTTTGGTGATAGGGAACTTCCTTGAAATCGCGATAATATGCCGGTATTTTACGTATTCAAATTCATAAACCGCCAAAGCGTTTTGCTCCCGAAGCACAGACTGCCATACATACAACCAAGCTACACAAATGTTTTCTGGAAAATCCATTGTATAGGTAATTATATTATGATTTTAGACGATGAAAAAATAGAAATTAACTTTGCTACAATGAAGTGCAAATTAATATTAACTCGACGTAAGATCGATTGCACAGCTAGAATTATCGCAAAACCATCATTAGAGGACATTTTAAATAGCGGAGACATCAATCTTTTGAATTCGTACCTGCACAATATCGAAGAAGTTTTTACGTTGCCTACCCATGACTGTAAAATACGAACAAAAATTGAGGAGCATAGGAGGAACAGGCAGGTGTATAGGAAACAAACACATGTAGTAATCGGTAAAACTAGTTTATTATTGTCAGTATTAAATAGTGGTCAAAAACATAAACGAATTTCAAATTGTTATGGACATTCCTTGATGGATTATATATTGTAAAAATAAAGATTTTTTTTAATCGTTGATTTTTAATACTATTTTATCCTATTTACTAAACTTATTATAAACCAAATTTAACTTAAAGATGCAGTAGCAGTAAACAAACCAAGACACATTATCAACATTATGAATATTACGAGGAGCAATCCCAAATCATGATTTATAATGTATAAACGTACATAATATCCACCTCATAAACTATATAAATAGACATCGTATACGAAACTCAAGTATTAAGCATACCATATCATTTAGTAGTCCTTGTACGCGGAAGAATTGCTATAACTTAGTTGAACCACTGTTGTTCTAGTGATAATATTTTAGCCATGGCGTGCGTCAGGGAATTATAGTGCTTGAATATATTCATTTATAGTTTGTTATAATAAATTTTATCATTTATATTTTATGGTCAGAAGAATAACAAAGATAAAATCAAATTAATAAATGTTACAATAGGGTTTTCCAACAACATAATAATGTGAATTCGTTATTGTAATGCATTGAATTAATAAAATTAAATTAAATATGTAAAAATTGTTTTAAAATTAAATGTAATATCTAATGGCGGTTTCCCACCAAACGGACAAAATAAAAACAAAACACAAACTTGTGTTCAATAAAACAAAATAGCAACTTTTCACAAACTTTTTAAAGACTGGCGTGTTGTGAAACAGTTCGTTTTGTTTTTCGAGTCACGAGTTTTTGAAACTCAAGTCTGTTTAGTGAAAACGGTCAGTTGTGTATTAATGGACTACCTCACCTTAGAAGTCACAATGGGCGGGGCTTCGAAAACCTTTCTAAACATTTCTACACTAAATACAAGATAGAGCTGCAGTAAGTATAATTTATTTATACTTAATTTATTATACTTACGCAACAGTATGAATGTTACGAGGGGCACTCTCAAATCATGATTTTAATGATGTATAAACCTATATTTTCCTGTATTATGAAATACATATGAAAATATGAAGTAGACATCGTAGTATAAGTTGCGGCCGATCGTATGATTTATAGTCATTATATTTATAGTGATTATTGACTCAAGCAAGGCCTCTGGTTGAGTTCAAAATAAACAACTGATTGAATCCTAACATGCAACATAGAAAATGAAAGGGGAGGGGATAAAGATTATATTAGATAGACAAAACAAACAAGATGACTACCAAAACGGCACTACACATCATCTTCGTTATTAATGTACGTATAGTTACATACGAGATATCATAGGACGCTATGGATGAAAATAGATTTACTATAAGACAAATTTTGATTTATTGAATCAAGGAAGGCCTCTGACTGAGTTCAAAATAAACAACTGATTGAATACTAACATTCAGCATAGAAAATGAAAGGTAAGGGAATAAAGATTATATTACGATAGACAAAACAAATAAGACGACTACCCAAAGGGCACTACACAGCATGTTGGTTATTAATGGACGTATAGTTACATACGAGATATCATAGGGCACTATGGATGAAAATAAATTTACTATAAGACAAATTTTCATTTATTGACTTCAAGAAGGCCTCTGGTTGACTAAAAAATAAACAACTGATCGAATCCTAACATGCGACATAGCAAATGAAAAGGGACGATATAACGAATCTATTAAGATATGTAATTGATTTTCTATTTTAATATATTCGTTATATCCTTCCCTTTCATTTACTATGTCGCATGTGAGGATTTGATCAGTTGTTTATTTTGTACTCAGTCAGACGCCTTTTCATCCATAGTGCACTATGATATCTTGTATGAAACTATACATCCGTTAATAACGAAGATGCTTCGTAGTGCCCTTTTGGGTCGCCCTGTTTGTTTTTTCTATCCTTAAGTAATCGTTATAGCTCCCCTTTCATTTTCTATATCGCGTGGTAGGATTTGATCAGTTGTTTATTTTGTACTCAGCCAGAAGCCTTCTTTGTCAATCAATGAAAATTTGGCATACGGTTTTGCTTTCATATTAAATTATTAAAACAATATGTACAGTTACACGTGAATTTTACTGTTTTTCAAATAAAAACTGAAAACATAATAATAAGTTACTACTTTTGATGCGAACTAACACACAATTTACTTTAAAAAATAAGTGTATTTGATGTTTCGATTTGGATCATTTAAGTGTCAAAACAACGTTGCAATTACTGCTTTATTATTTTTGTCAAACCATAAGTTTACTTTTTATTTTACAGTAGGGAAGCAAATTTTGAATTTCCTTGAAAATAATACTAACATTGTATATTTTATCTTCTTTGTTCATAGTAAACAAATCTTTAATTGTACATACTGTTTTATTAATTTGATAGGAAATAGAAAATATGAAAGCAAAACCGCACGCCTATGGAGTCTTACGTAGCATAGCCTGGTTTTGTTTACTTTTACTGCACGTCGAATTTGAATGAACTATAGTGTTATTTTGTAAATAAAAATATAGACAAATAAGAAAATCACATATAAAGTTCTAAACCCTGAATTAATGAACTTCTGCACTAACGCACATGTATATTGTTTTTATCATGTGTTAGTGACATTTCAATTAGCGAACGGCCCATTTTGTAAAATTATTTTGAATAGGATCACACTGCAAGTAATACCTCATTTGAAAGCTATTATGGTATTTAGCATGATACTATGACTTCCAAGATAAACCCACTTCGCAATCGAATTTTGTACGTCGATGCGCATGACGTCAATTGGTGATAAAAGTTCCACTTGTCGGTAAAACATATAGAAAGAGAGGGTATTATTTAAATATTTAGAATATTTAGGGATGTTACGTAAAATATCTGCAATTAAAACTTAAAAATGTGTTATATATACTTATATCTATACTTATTAATAATAATGTTGTCACATTATTATTACTAATAATAATTAAGTTTAATTTAATGTTCTTACATATATTTTATCTATAAGTGCACACATATATTTGTCAACGTACTAGATAAACGATAAAACAATACTAAATCTGACAAAACTCCATAAAAAACAGAACATTTCTGGTGATATTTGTCGCCAAGTGACGTCACACGTGCAAAAGAGATAGACCGATCCCGTGCGCGTGGGTTTATCTTTAGAAGTTCATAGTATCATGGGTATTTAGTATGTTCCTAGATTTTTCTACGACTTTGTTAAAAGTAACGGACAATGTAAAAAAAGTATAAACAGTTATCCAAATATGAGAAGAACACAAAAGTTCTGCACAAATAATAGAGGGAAACATATTTTTGTAAAAAATCAGCTTTATTGTCTTTCAAAGTATTTGCCTTTAATCATCAATATACTTTTGTATTCGAACAAATCAATAGTCGAAACATTTATGCGATTCTTAGATAGGTATCTCAAAATTGAGATGTTTTTATGCTTCGACCGCCCTTATTTGACGTTTTAAAACATTTACCACGGAGTTAATCAGTCACTGTTTTTTCCAAAAAAAAAAACTCGCGACCATTTTTTTAAAGAAAGCTTCGAGCGCCGATTATTTTGTTGGCTTTGGCTCATCTTTAAACATCCACAACCGTTGATCGGCTTTTCTTTCGAACTCTTAAGATATTTATTAGAAAAAAACTAGGCTTTTTATTCAAAATAAACTTGAATTTTATTGATAATATTAATTGTATTATTGTTCTGAAGCTATTTTCTTGTGGCATTGTAAATTAATTACTATTAAACTGGGAATAAGCCACAATTAAAGATAAAAATACGTTTATTGACGTTTCAATTTCCACTTCGGAAATCGTTCTCAAAATACAAACAGTAAATTAAACAAATTTTGTTTTTTGTTACATAGTGAAAAATTCTTGTAATAATTTAATTTTATCTGACTCATTTATATTGACAATTCAGACATACATTATGCATTTTAAAGTAGACGACTTTAAAATGATATTGCCAATATTGTTGAGTTGCGCTACTGGGACGACTTTACTTATAAGATAGTTCATTCGATTACATGAAATCAACTTTAACTTGAGAATATCCGTCAGAAAAAATCATAGCATGTAATTCGTCTTTAAAAAGACAAACACATGACATGATGACAGTAAAATTCTCCTGTTAGTGATTCCATAGTAAATTTTGAGCATACACAAGGAATAATATGAGGAAAATAACAATACCGTACATAAAAGGACTATCAGAAAAACTTAAAAGGATAGGAAATAAATTCAACATTTCAACAACATTCAAAACAACAAACACGTTAAGATCTATTTTGTCCAAAACCAAACCTAACAATGAACAAGAAAGGACAAAGAATTGCATTTATAAAATACCTTGTGAATGCGATCAGTTTTATTTAGGTGAATCATCAAGGCCATTAAATGTTAGAATAAGTGAACATCAATCTTATATTAAAAATAAAGAATTTGATAGATCTCAAATCTGTAGACACGCATGGGATAATGAACATAGGGTTCAATGGAGTAATTCAAATGTAGTCCTAAAAGAAACGGATGGTAAAAAAGAAAAATCAAAGAAGCGGCTCTAATTATGCTAAATGAGGCCAATTGTGTCGCAAATTCCTCGGCAGAATGTAGTAGGATCTGGTTACCAATATTGAAAGAGGAAGTTATTAATAAGAAAATACCAGTATTAGTAAGTCAGTAACATATAGAGGATACATCATTTATGTTTTTTAAATAACGTAACATATAAAATCAGAATTTTGATGTTTGTTGAAGGTAAACTAAATTCACGAACAAATACTTACAATGTCGGGATAGTATTATGAGGTTTTTTTCCTGGTTTTCCCTCATAATTTACTATGGAATCACTAACAGGAGAATTTTACTGTCATCATGTCATGTGTTTGTCTTTTTTACATGCTATGATTTTTTCTGACGGATATTCTCAAGTTAAAGTTGATTTCATGTAATCGAATGAACTATCTTATAAATAAAGTCGTCCCAGGAGCGCAACTCAACAATATTGGCAATATCATTTTAAAGTCGTCTACTTTAAAATGGATAATGTATGTCTGAATTGTCAATATAAATGAGTCAGATAAAATTAAATTATTAGAAGAATTTTTCACTATGTAACAAAAAACAAAATTTGTTTAATTTACGTTTGTATTTTGAGAACGATTTCCGAAGTGGAAATTGAAACGTCAATAAACGTATTTTTATTTTTAATTGTGGCTTATTCCCAGTTTAATAGTAATTAATTAATTGTATTGTATTCATAATAAATTAAAACATTTAAAGTACTCCTTAATTGAGGATTTTTTTGTGCAACTTGTAGGTAGTCCTTCTTTAAAAACCTTTTCTCGCATATTTCGAATTATTTAGCAGATACGCCATTTTCTTCAATACGCCATTCACCATGTGTAAGTATTTGTTCGTGAATTTAGTTTACCTTCAACAAACATCAAAATTCTGATTTTATATGTTACGTTATTTAAAAAACATAAATGATATATTACAATGTCGGGATAGTATTATGAGGTTTTTTCCTGGTTTTCCCTCATAATTTACTATGGAATCACTAACAGGAGAATTTTACTGTCATCATGTCATGTGTTTGTCTTTTTAAAGACGAATTACATGCTATGATTTTTTCTGACGGATATTCTCAAGTTAAAGTTGATTTCATGTAATCGAATGAACTATCTTATAAGTAAAGTCGTCCCAGGAGCGCAACTCAACAATATTGGCAATATCATTTTAAAGTCGTCTACTTTAAAATGCATAATGTATGTCTGAATTGTCAATATAAATGAGTCAGATAAAATTAAATTATTAGAAGAATTTTTCACTATGTAACAAAAAACAAAATTTGTTTAATTTACTATTGTATTTTGAGAACGATTTCCGAATGTGGAAATTGAAACGTCAATAAATGTATTTTTATCTTTAATTGTGGCTTATTCCCAGTTTAATAGTAATTAATTAAGTACTTAAGCATATAAATAACACAATATTTTTGTTAAGTTGTTAAGTAAAAACTTAGTGTAATTATTATGATTAAAAAATCCATCCTAAGAAATCAGACACAATATAAATATGGTTCTAAATTAATCTAATTGAAAATTAAATATTTTACTATTTACTTATAACTTTTGTTGAATTTTCATAGGTATACGAAAGTAGCAATTTTAAATATGAATAGGTTTTTTGTCATATAGATCAAGTTAAAAGAGGTATACATGAAAAATTTGTTGAATGTAACATACCATTTATAACTTGTATATCGATTTAAAATAGCCTATATTCTCGAAAGATTTTTGAATGTAATACTCAAATTTGTTATCACTTATCTAAAAAGCAGATCTAAATGAGAAAGTAAGTTCTCTAATTGTGACCATCTTGTTAATTTACTATATTGTAAAATCCATTTCAAATCATTACTACTTAATCTATTCTTACCTACATTGACGATTACACTAAAATTACTGCTAACTATTATATTACGTATTACACAAATATTATCACACTTGTGTCCCAACGGATTAATGTTTAATACATAGAAATATACACAGTCACTTGTAATTTTACTTGTCCAATTTTTCAATGGATATTATTGTCTAAGTCTAATTGTCATAAATATGTTATCTCTTGTCTCCTCTTCTTATGCAAAAAGTTTCTTCTGTCTTCGGGATCCTTCTTTCTTTAGTACGATGAACAGTTACATATGATGGTACTTCAGGAAATATATTAGGAACTGCATTGCCTTTTAATTTGGGAAATATTAACTTTTCAAAGTGTACATTTCCATCTTTATCTTCTCATTGTTCAGTCCGCTGAATATCATCTTCATGAAAATGTTTGGCACATACTACGGAAGATTTGGTAATTGTATAGCCTTCTCTATGAATAGAGCATAACCCAGTATATCTTCTTTGGGGATCTTTGGGAAACAAAAACGTACTTTCTGCCTGTTTCGTTTTTAAAGTACTGGCATAATTGGTTTTGCAACCAGGTACACAGCAATGCCAGATCATCTGTAACAAAAAACAAAGTATTATTATTGTTGTTTTTAGTTTACATATTTTGTAACAAGAAGCAAAAGTATTATTATTTTCAGTTTGTTTTGTAGGTTATATTTATACTTGCCTTTTTAATTGTCGTTAAGAATCTTCTATAAGTTCTAAATTTAATGAAATTTCACTTATATTAATATTTTCTAATTGATTTAAACACAATTTACAATAAAACATTCGAATAAAGTTAAAAAAACACTAAATTCAACAAACTTTACAAGCCTTCCTATATGAAATGTTAAACAAAACAAACCACGGTCGGACTACCGCGCGTTTTGTTGCCAAATTTCTACTTCATGGCTTGGAAGTAAAGGTGGCTGTGCTTGAGCAGATAAGTGAAAGTCATTCCAGTTCATATCATGACGTTAGGCGTGTGCAGGTGCAGACTGCAGTGACCAAACGCACTTTAATTGTCAATTAACTTGTGTCCGCCATCAGGTTTTACTCGCAAATAACGGTTGTCTGTCTGCGTGACCAGACAGGCGCCCTTGACGATAAGCGCATGCGCCGGTACAAATATTGGTTCGGCGTTGAAACATTATTATTACTGTAAACGGACTTTCGGCCACCCTGTATTTTGTTTATTTTTATATCATGTATTCTTAACTCCATATATTATTTTGCCAATTTTACATGTTTTTTTCACTATAAGTATAACTTCTTTAAAATCTATATTTATTTTCAAAATTAGAGTCTAGTTTCCGTTTACTTGATATTTTTAACTACATATAACATTCTCACCTAAATCAGCATGTGCATCTAATAAGCGTTGAGCTTAGACTCTTCAACGATACTTCATACGGTGTGTTTGATGTAGGAAGGGGCGAGGTAGACGCGGACGAAGGGTGCCGGATTGTTGGACGTGTCGTTTATTGAAATGTCGGGTTAGTAAGATTCTATTATAATTGGTTTTATTAATTGGCTAAATGCTAGAGTCTACAATAAAAGTATAATACATGGAAATTCAGAGGTACATAGAAAGCAAACACAAGTTATTGTTTGTAAATATATTTTAAATAGTGTAATAATCTCTAAATAAAATCTATAAATAAATAAAAAATAAACAAGATCTTTTCATTTTGTGCTCAAGGAAGCATTCGTCAGGTTGTTAAGCTCCTTTAAAATATCTGAAAAGAAAATCAGCCATTTAATTTATACAGATATATATATATATATATATATATATTTTTTTTTTTTTTTTTTTTTTTTTTTTTTTTTTTTTTTTTTTTTTCTTGGTGATGCTAAATTACTGCAACGTGAAAGGAGTTTAAAATGATGGCGGGATGTATTATATATATATATTATATATATATATATATATATATATATATATATATATATATATATACCTATACTCCAGTCATCAGAGACGAAAATGCCAGTGAACCTCTAAAAATCACATGACCAAGCTGAATTTTACCGAAAATGTCAGTTTTGAGACTCCACAATTCAGTTTCGCTAGGTAAGAAATCTTATGATTTCTCTTGTTTAAATTTTTTTATTCTAGCATTTGAAATTGACTTTAGTAATTGTCCAATGATTCCTAAGATTCGTTCTATCTTCTTTTCAGTTATAGTTGGTAGCAAGAGGAAAATAAGTGACCCTGCGCGGCAGGTTAGATTAGATTATAAGAAGCTCTTAAGGCCATGCAGCCTCACCGCACTTCGACCTATAGAGATCTTTTGTGCATACCTTAATCTAGTTGAACTCTAGGATGCCAATACTTCTTATATTGAAGTTGATTAGCTTCCTAGGAGACTTGTTTCCTGTTAAAGAACACCAGTTACCACTTTGATATCTTTTTTACTCATTTTGAAAAGGGGGTTTGTTGCAGTAGGCGACACTTAGAGCATTTTTGCTTGTCTTTGTCCTGTTTTATTATACCAGTGTAAAATTAGTTGATTGAGTTTCCAGATTCGGAGTTCTTCTCTGATGTGGCTTTTAGATAGTCCACAGAAAAAATGTGGACCCTGGAATGGGTATTAGCTATTTCTTTCAAGTCAGCTTCCCCATTTCCTGCAATTCCCTTGTAAACTGGCACCTCCATCAAAGGACCTTTGTTGCATTCCGCCAGCTTCTTGAGGGATTGTTTATAGTCCCAAATCAACTTTGACTTTCAAGTAAATCACTTTAGAGCCTGTAAGGCAGCTTAGTTGTCTGATAAAATAAAGACTTTTGCCCTACGAGTGTCTCAGTTGAGACATTCTTGGGCACTAATATCCATAGCACGTATTATTGCCTGAAACATAGCTGGGGCGTTTCCAAAAGATTTAGATAGCCTGAAATTGGGCCCAGTAACTCCCACTTCTGCTCTTTCATTTATCGTATACTATACGAGTGAACCTTTATCCAGTTTCGGTCCAACTTCTTCACCCATTTGGTGATTTTTTATGACCACTTAAAAGGGTGTTTCGAAGTCGAATTTGACTGGCTTGGCATCTGTCGGCCTGTTCTTAGATTTTTAGGTGACGCCGCAGGTTACAGCGTGAAAGATATGGTGCAAATGCGGTTGAGGTGGTACGAATGCAAGATGAATGTCGTGCAAAAAAGAGAGAGTTAAATAGGCTAATCCGCGCTAGAAAAAAAGGATGCTGGAAGTATCTCTGCGATGAGTTGGATGAGGACGTATGGGGACAGAATTGTAAAGAAATGCTTTGACGCCTATTCTCCCGAGAAAGGGAGGAATAAAGAAGAATAAATAAGAGGTAATAGATCATTTTTATAATCTATACCAAAATAACTTACCAGTCATCTGGAGCTCCCCATTAGTCTTATTTCTATAAGAAGAATTTATAAAAGTTTTATTTCTTAAGTGGGTCAGTTTTAAATTTGGCAGTTTTCTTTCTTGGAACGGTAGTTTATTAGCTGCAAATAAAAAAATTAACCAGATATTCAAATAAAAAAAAGTTATCTTACTAATAGTTTGTGTTTGAAGACTCGGTTCAGGAACTTTGAAAGTAGCGTTCCGGACAGTAGTCCTGTATAAAATACTACGGTCTTTTAAAATGTCCTTGCCCCTCGAAATAATATGGTCCAGGAAAACATTTCCGAATACTGGCTTTGATGCTTGTTCTAAAGTAGTTTTTTCAACATGCGACACATCTGGAATTTATAATAGTCAATTAGTACTCTATATAATATACAATATAGGTAAAAGTTTATGGTCGGTATGGACCTTACGTAAGATGGAGTGAGAAACACCTGTTTAAAAAGAGAGAGATATATTAGGTCCGCCCTTCATATCGCCGAAAATGAATGAGTTGAAATAATAAAAAAGGGAAAATTCAACGTTGCCAAACTTATTGGTTTTATTTGTTACTTTATTAACGGCTACTTGGATTGCTTCGTTATTTACGAGTCCCTGTCGTTTTTTTTTATTGCAAACTGACCCTGTTGCTTTAATTTCTGCATCAATTTTTGTACTAAAAACCTACAATTTCGATTCTTCATCTGACTAGATTAAATATATTAAGATGTTAATTATATTAAGATGGATATATTTCTTCGCTATAATCTATTTATATTGTATATTGTAATAGTTACCTTTAGTACACAAATTTTGATTTTCCGTATTCTCATCAGCAAAACAAACCCATAAGTTTTTAATTGAACTAAGAAGAATTTTGCAACGCTTAATAATCCGTAAGTGGCTGCTTCTTTCGTCGGGTAATACATCAAATGCTGTTTTTACTTCGTTTAAAACTGAAAACAAAAGAAAACGTGAATTTTTATGTCATAAAAAAACACATAGATCACAAAAGGACCAGAATGTGTCGGTGTCAGGTGACCTATGATAACAAAAAACGTTTCATTTGTTTTTAGCCTATAGAAAGAGGATTATTTGTAATCAGGGATGAAATAGTGTTAAAGAGTTCAATACATAAAAAACAACATGCTTTTAGAGCAGGTAATTCAACTGAAAATAAAGAAGTGATGCTGAAGCCTATTTGAATATAGAGGGACTTTCGACAACATTTCGATAATATCTATAAACAATGCCCTGGCATGCAAAGAAATGCTCAGAAATAGAGTTTTATCATCCTTGGAGAGACCAGTTGGTCCGGATCAACAGAGGATGCCCACAGGGAAGAGTTATCTCCCCACTGCTGAGTAATCTGATGATGGATGGACTAATAGGGACTTTAAAGACAAATGGTCATAGAACAATTGGATATACGGATGATTTGGTAAACATCTTGCACAATATATACCCTCTACCTTGAGTAGGTGTGCTTGCTAGTATCTTATTACCAATAATGTGTTTTCCTACCGCTGCTAAAGCGAATATAATGTGAATGGATTATCATGTACCTTGAATTTTCTAATAAGTTCTGATATCAGAACCATATCATATTAGTTTAGGTTTGTAGTAATATATTCTCAACCAGTCCTAATAAATTAGGCCCTCAGGGTGATTAATAGAATCTGTTCGTTCCAGTCTCAAAGGATAAAGTTGATAAGGCTTTGTTTGAGTTTCGTTGTTGTTGAATGGTTCTTGGTAATCTTGATCTTATCCCTTAACATAAGTTGTTAATATACATCTATGGTGTAGTTTTAATTATAACTTTACTAACACTTAAGGATATAAGTTTATAGAACTATGTTTAGATTGTAAATGATTGAGTTGTTTTCTCTCTTTTGCATTTCTTAACCATTGGCCTTCTTAAATTGAAATAGAGTATCTCTTTTAATAACTTTAGTCAATTACTTATTCATCCATTCTCGTTATATGTTTGAGGCAAGCAGGATGTAGTAAATCGCGTGTTGTCCATATACTGCATGGCTGGCTTCGCCTTTGATTTTATTCCGTCTCCTGAGCAAATGGTGTGGCTGTTGAGCTTAACATAATTATAGTTTGATACCACAACGTTTCGGCTTTACCGTATCCCTTCTCAGGTTCGTCCTAGACAAAAAAAGTGGAAACTTCTGGAAGTTTTCCTTCTTTTGTATTTTTTTGCTGGAGATGAGAGAGAATGCAGCAGTTACCACGCTGCTCCCTTAAAAATCTCCTCACATACGCCTGTGGCCCAAATTAAAATGTAAGAGGTCGCTGTGTTGTCAACTGTGGCTGAGCAACAAGCGGATTAGGTCTTCTAATGCTGCAGGGATAAGAAATTCAGCTAAAGGGAGAGGTAAAGTATCTCAAGGTTATAATAGACTCGAAACTTACCTGAAACAGGCAATTAGAACAATAAAAAGTAGCGCAGAGGCAACTCTTATGAGTGTCAGACGCATGTATGACAAGAAATAGAAATTAAGACCGAACATGGTGCATTATGTGTACCCCATAGTGATCAAACTCTTAATTACCTATGCAGCGACGATGTGGTGGACTAAGATAATTTAAACAACTGCAAAAGCCAAACTCAGCATGGCCCAAAGACTTATTGCGTGTATGGGGACAACTGGTGCCATGCGTACCACTCCAACAGCAGCTTCGCACTGAAACTTTGCAATGAAGAGACAGGGCCTATGAGTATCACAAGATCTGTGACGAAGGGCATCCTTAATGTGGCACCGGATCACATGCCAAAAGATACAATTTAAGAATTCATACAGGATGTCTTTTCCAGAGAGAAATACATGAAGAAACAAGGAGCAGTGCCAAAACCAACAGGATAAGATCTAGTACATACACGGATCCAAGACTGGAGAGGGTGTGGGAGCAGAAATATATTCCATAAGTCCAAGAATTAGTGAAAGTTTTGCATTGGGGAAGAATTGCACCGTTTTCAAGCGGATATTTATGCAATACTGCAATATGAAAAGGGAAATAATAATACTGAAGGCACATTCGGTAAGTGAAGTCCAGAGTGATGGGGACTGTATCAGAAAATTGAAGGAGCTGAGAGACCGCAACAGGGTTGAGCTTACGAATCAAACGGATCATCTGTGACCCTGGGAACACCAAAAGCCAAAAAAAAGTACGTAGGGCTGTAAAGAACTAGATCTGAGAAAGTCATGAGCCATATTAGTATAGAATCCCACAACAAATATATGAGAAAATCTTCATTGTTTGATCATATGCAAAAAGAACAGATGAATTATTCTATGTGGGTAGGAATAAACTGAGAACAGTAACAAGAATGTTGATCGTGCATGCATCCATGAATGAAAATAGATATTTACAAGGGAGACATTAACTGCAGACTCTGCGATAAGGAACTAGAAATGTAAAACATGTATTATGCGATTTCGAGGCGCTAGACCTCAAAAGACAAAACAATATGGGCAACTTAGAGAAGTTCTTGGTATATTTAGAACACACCAAGCAAAAGGTCTGTACAAACTTCTAGAGGGTACAAAAATTCTAGATTAAGGAAACAACAATGGGCAGCAAACACAATAAGTTTCAGCTTCAGCGATAACGGAGATCTTTTTGATTAGACGAGCACGGGGAAACAAGTTGTTAAGATACAATTGAAATGAATATATTCTAATAATTTTCAATTAATGCTCCTCACTCAACAAAATAGTTGTATGACAATTTCGATGTAATTAGAATGATTTGCCGGATTACAATGATAGAAAAACTATGAGACATTAGTAAATAATGTAGAAGACATGCTTTTTACTTTCCAATTAATAGATAATAAAGCAATGCTTTCTTGTAAATACGTCGATGTAAGGTCTGTTCCAAAAGTATCCAATCTTAATTAATAACTTCGCAATACTTTATTCATCATCCATCTCGGTACATCAATAAAAGTTGTTGAGTCAATAAACAGTTATTGTTACTCACGCCGAAAAATGTTATGAAATAATAAAATTGTACGACTATCAAATAATAAAATAATGTTAATATTAGTATTACATGTCCATGCAACTTCACGAAAGGTATCTATGAGACTTCCTAAAACGTAACAAAAGTAATTCCAATTCGACTTCTAAACTACAAGCTTCTGCCAGAGCTTAAGTCCCTGAAGCAGTTGTGAAATTCAGTTTTTGTGATGGATTTCAGAGTTATCGTCACGTTCGTTTGAATCGTGCTCTACGTCATCCAAATGTTTTTCTTAAAGAGACATTGTTGGTTTCGAAAACACTAAAGTCGCAAAATGCTATATTGAAATTGTACATCACAGCCTGAGACAACGATTAAAGGGAAGAAAAAAATACTTTTTGGCTTTTATACACATAATTAATTACCAAAGAAAATTCTTTACCACATTTAAAATCAGAGTAAGCGTTTTTTATTTCGCTAACATTAGCTTCTTGTTGATCTTCAATAACTATTTGCATAAATTGTTCAAGAACTTTGGATTGTCGTAATAGCTTATCGAATAAAGTTACGTCCATCGTAGATTGTGTCTTGACACTTTCTGAAATATCTGCCACTAACAGTTTGTTTTCTTCATATATCACCTATAAAAAGAAACAATAATTAAAAACATAATCTGCGACACTGGTAAAAATATTCGTGTGAATATAAAATACTTACCTCACAAAATGCAAATGGATCTATAATAAGACATATTAGTTTGTGTAATATTCGAGCCTGATTTAACCAATAATCTTTAAGAAGAAGAGATAGTTGAATTTTATTTAAAGATATCTCGTTAAGAACAGACGTAAATGCCGGAACTAGCTCCGTTTCTAGTGCTTCCAAACTAGCTAAACAGCTTCTGATTTTTACGCAATCTACAATTAAACAAAATATTTAAGTAGGTAAATGCTTAATAGTGTATGATATTGCGACTGATATTTATGTAAGGTAGACCACTCACTATCAGGTACATCTGGCAGGTACGCCAGTACAGTTAAGTAAAATTCGATCGATTAAACTGACGAACTCAACAGGCATACATAAAAGAGTGTATGTGCTCCTCATACTTAACAGACTTAACTGTTCAGGCGTACCTGGGAGGTGTACCTGAAAGTGAGTGGGCGGCCAAGGCTTAGGCTGGAATAAAATCAGTTTTCTATAAAAACAGTCTAATACAAGGTGATGAAATAATGTAAAAAAGGAACATTATAACAGTGAGATTTGATTTTACATCCCAAACCGAATTTTACATTTGAGCTGGACCGAATAGGAAAAATATTTTAGCAAAACATGATATCCATTAGTTTTAAATCAACCAAGACGTGTAAAATCGCAAATTTTATTCGAAAAACATTGGGGTTTAATCTAATATAAGGCCAGGCAAACACTATCAGGTACACCTGACAGATACGCCTGGTAATGTGAGGCGGGAATACCTAGCCTCTTAGGCGACCTGATAACTGATGAAAATTTGATCAGTTCTGAATGACAGACGAGCAGACTTAATGTGGGTGTGGTGGTTTCATCAAGTGTACCTGAAGAGGTCTCCGATTTTAAAAAATCAAGGTTCTTGCCGATTTTATTGAAATTTATAAAAGGGGACCTTTGTTTATGGAAAGTAAAAGTAACAGCCATCGGAATAGAGACAAGAGAGATGATGCTAACACACCAAGTCCATAACATTACACACCAGCTTCCACGACAAGTCTCCCACGTTACACACTAGCTCCCACACCACCCTCCATCTCAGTCTTTGTCTACCTCTACTCCTATTTTCTACTGGTGTCGCTAATAGGGTTCGTCTAGGTGGGTAATTTTCATTTGCTGTTGACACATGTCCAACCCATTTAAACCTACCTATTTTTATGAAAATCTACCTAGTTTACCTAAAACGGTAATAGAAAAGACTATCGAATACAATCAACCACTCGTTCTGGCTTTTGTAGATTTCCATAAAGCTTTTGACATGGTAGAATTTGACAAAATTCTGGAAGCACTACAAGTATGCCGCATTGACTACCGATGTACAAAGTTAATTTCCAACACATACAAAAACGCAACTATGTCAGTAAAACTATATAAAAACAAGGATATCCCAATTAGCAGAGAAGTACAACAGGGGACAGGGTGATACCTTATCACCTAAACTATTTACCGCAGTACTAGAATGTGCTTGTAAAAAAACTTAATTGGGAAGAGAAATGCCTGAACATTGACGGTAGAAGATTAAAAAATTTAAATTCGCAGACGATATAGTTTTGTTTTCGGACAACCTTAAGCAGATATGTACAATGCTACATGAACTTCAGTTAGTGTGGGCCAGTATGGGTCTTAAAATAAACATCTCTAAAACTAAATTTATGACAAACCTAGTACCTAGCGAACATATCAACATTGGAGACAACAAAGTAGAGCTGGTGGAAAAATACATATGCCTTGGACATGAAATAAAGATCAGAAGAGACAACCAAGAGAGCTACGACGAAGAATAAACCTAGCATGGACAGCCTATGGAAAACTCAACATCTACCATTAACTATTTACCACCTTCTCGATACTATTAGAAATGTATTCTTCACTATTTCCCACATATTTACAGGTTGAAAATAAGTGATGAAAAATCGCTGTTATGGTACTTTGTGCCACATCGCCACTAATAGAGTGCATTATACTTTGTGGAAAACTTTATTCATGCCACATAATATTCTGATGTAGAATTATAGAAGCTAACAAATTCAGCTAAAGTAATTATAGCAAATAACAACATTAACATTCAATGAATCAAGCTATAAATACCAACTACTTTATCTGCACAAAATGATGCAAAATATTACAACTATCAACTTACTGTTACTGCAGCTGGAACAAGATACAGCAAAGAGTCCAATTTGTAAAATTCTATCAACATGCAAATCGAGTTCAACAATTAAGTTATCCAGTTCACTTTGCTTTCCTCTATTAGATTTATCAAAACAAAAAGTGTGAATTGCTTCTAAAGGTAAAGTGTATTCAGAAAAAACTTTCAGGCTTAACTTCAAAACGGCTGTGTTCACTCTACGCTCTAAAGCACACAACTTATTCATACATGTATCGATAAATAAGTTCAGCATGGCAGTATTTGGTATTGGTTTATTAATTTCAACAGAGAGACTTTCAAGAGCTTCAAGTACCTAAAACATGAGAAAATGCCGTTATTTGGTACGGGAAATTTTGCTAAGTTAAAAGCTTTTTCCAAAAGATATTCATTGCAAATTTTGGAAGTGATTATAGATTATTTTTTAAGAGACAGAATAAAGCAACTGCTATTATTGCTGCTAGCTCGTAGTGGGTAAAATTACAGGAAATAATAAAGATAAAGAGAGACAATAATTTGATATAATATTTATACCTATAAATATAAGCTATATAACTTCATACATGGTTTATACAAAAATTGGTTGCCGAAATAAAAAATACCATAATAAAATCAGAAGCAGTATTAAATGATGGAGACAGGACTCTTTTAATCAAAGCAAAACAGTTCTGTTGCAGTATCCCAAAAAGCCGAAAATGGAAGATGTCTGCCTATGAAGAAGAAAGGAGATTTCGACAGCCTCCTAAAAAATAAGCTATTCATAAATTCTGTTATATCTTCAGAAAACTGAACTGAGAATAATCACAGGTGTTCCCACTACAATAGACCCTTCTCAGATATATACCTGTAAAATGGTTAAAGTGGACCACATTTAATTTAGCGAAAATGCAGATGAAACAGTAGAACTTATTGTCTGCATCTTCTAGGTAATTGGATGCTAATACCATAAATACTTTGAACATATTCTTCTTCTTAACTGGCTTTACAACTTGGGCTGAGTCTTTGCCGCATCCACTATAGCCCTCCATTTCCTACAATCTTGCACTTCTATATCCCATTGTTGTATCCCAATCTTAGATAAATCTTCTTCAACATCATCCTTATATCCTTTTCCGGGACTGCCTACTGATTTTCTATGGTCTACCTTCTCGAAAACACTGTCTTCCTTTGATCTTATCATATGACCCGCCCATCTTATCTGGTTAGCTTTTATATGTCTGACAATGTTTTCGGTAACATACTGATTCACCACTTCAGCATTGCAGCGTTTTTTCTCTGCTCTCCTGTCAATTTATCTCTTTGAAATATAACAAAACTGTTAAAAGTATGGTCTCAATACCAATATGGTCTAAATAAACACAAACTATGGTAAAATGGAAAAATTTATTTCTTTAAAAGATGATAGTTTGTTTTTAAAAACGATTGTTTTATTTTAAATAATATTTCCTGTTAATATACTTACAGATTGACTACTCCCCCTTATTTTTTTATAATCATCCAATAGTGTTACTTGAGCTATTGACATGGCATGACTTAATACTTCTTCAAATAATACTTTAGTATCACGAAATATATTTTTTGCCTCTTGTTTTTTATTAATATAATCAATTTCGTTGAGTTTATCAAGAGCTGAATCCATCCACTTTACAAAATTCCCATTGGATATGTCTATAATAGCAGTTTGTGATAGGGTTTGCCTAATTCCATCCAAAGAATACACCATTTGTTTTTGACAAAAGCATCTGATTTCCTAAATACAAAAAATATTTATCAATGACAATAATATTAGTGTTGAGTGAAGAATAAAATTACTATTGTTCTGAAGCTATTTTCTTGTGGCATTTTAAAGTAATTACTATTTAAAGGGAATAAGCCACAATTAAAGGTTAATGTATGTTTCTTGACGTTTCAATTTCCACTTCGAAAATTGTTCTCAAAATAAAAACATTTTGATTTTTGTTTGTATTTTGAGAACGATTTCCGAAGTGGAAATTGAAAAGTCAATAAACATACTTTAACCTTTAATTGTGGCTTATTCTCTAAAATTACTCTAAAAAATGTTGATTAAAAAAATACATCAAGGAGTAGTGGATTATCTAAACAGCTATGATTCATGCATGTGCAAAGTACAAATTTACATTTCAATCCTACAAATTTTAATAATTCTAGATGACCAGGCACCCAGATATTTTCAAGGTCATAGCCATTTAGAAAATCCCAAGGCTCTACCTGTGTACACAAAAAAATTATTGACAACAGTATCCCTCATTAATATGCTAGACATAGATGATATTTAGCAATAAAATTGTAGTTACAAAATATTTGTTCAGTTGTCGCTTAACTGGCATATTTAAACACTATAATAAACTATTAAAGGCAATAGGACGAGATATAGTATATAAGCATGTATAAAGATCTTTCTTGTATGAAAATCCTTCAGACTTTATGAAACCACAGAGGCAAAACCCTTTGAACATATTGCCAGTTGATTTATTAAACAAATTAGGTAAAATTGTTAATACATTACACCCACTTATACATTATCTTACCATTAATGGTTGTTCCACTTCCGATTCTCTTACGAATATATTAATAAGTAATGATAGAGATGTAAGAAGTTGTTGAAGATATAAGAGTAATTTCTCTTTATAATTCAATTCTTTGTGTAGTTTTTTATTATATTCCGTAATATACACAATTACTTTTGTAAGTAGTCTGCATAATTCCTAAAACAAGTATAAAATAAAACCTAATATTATAAACTTGATAGACGTTTTAAAATATAATAAAGATACCTTAAACCAGTTTAACAAATCCGTATTATGCGAAATGTTACAATTCAGTGTATTTAAATACACTTTTGTCAATTTAATGTGTTTAAATACTGAGGTGTAATAGTTTTTCGATATATTTTCCATTATATTTAATGAGATCAATGGACTTATAAAAGATATTTATTTAAAATCAAAACAAGAGTTTGAATTTTGACATTAGTGAACAGGTAAAATAACGATATTGCAGAATATCCAACATAACATTTTAAATTAAATGGTCTTTGATTATTGCCTTAGATTTGGCAGAATGTATTATGAATGTATAAATCAACCATTCTCAAACATTCCATTTTGTATACTTTTAAATTACTTATTATTCATACTTTAAATGAATACATTAACTTTTTAAATTGCTTTTTAATTTGTTACCATTTTAGTTTGGCTGCAGTGTCCGAGTGAAGTAAAACATTACTTGTCATATGTCACCAACCCAACAAAAACAACGTAATCCATGTCACTGTCAACCATATAAATAATCATATTTTTTTAAATCAAAATAATTTGAGAAAACATGAGTTTAACAGGAAGAAATCGTCCTAGTATATTGGATAAACCATTAAGTAAAGGAAAAGGAGAAGTTTCTCTTAGCTGTTTTGCCCTGTTATTTTCAGAAGTAGTCCAATATTGTCAAAATAAATCACAAACAGTTCCAGAATTACAAAATAAGTGCGACCTATTTTGTATATAAATAAACATAAAATTGCTTTTTCACTTTTAATTACAATGTTTGAATTAACTTTGTTTCTATTGCAGGTTACATGAATTAGGAAAGAAAATTGGAGTGAAACTTATTGATCTCTATTTTGTTAGAGAACGAGGAGGGAAGAGAGAGATAAAGCTTTTAAATATTTTGCTTTTTGTTAAATCCACTTTGTGGAAAGTGAGTTCTAAGACATTTATCAATTTTATATCTTTTTCTGTTTTGACTTTGGCCATTAATCTGCAATATCCCGTATTAATTTATACGATTTTAGGCTTTATTTGGAAAAGAAGCAGACAAACTAGAACACTCCAATGATGATGAAAACACTTACTATTTAATGGAAAAAGAACCTCTAGTAAATCGTTATATTTCTGTACCTAGAGATAAAAGTAGTTTGAACTGTGCTGTGATGATAGCTGGAATTGTGGAGGCAGTACTCACAGGGACAGGCTTTGTAGGTTGATTTTTTAAAATTAGTATGGCAAATTTATTAATATTCCTCTCACTAGGCAAAGCTACAAACAATATGTAGATGTGTGACCTGAAAGATTTTCTGGCAATTGAACCTGAATGCTTTCTGTATCAGCATTATGCATGTATATCTCTAATTTTAGGAATATTTCATGAAATTATGCAGCTAATGAATATCTCTCATCTCAGGAATATTTTTAGAGAATATTGTGTATCTCTTACTGTTTTTCTTAGTCATTTTTAAATCTATGGCCTTAATTTGCTTCGTCTTTAGCTATTAACTACTATATGGTTGAAATTGTGCTTATATGATCTTTTCCATGAGTCCACAACATGTTGCCAGCTTGCCATGACATGTCCACCACATGATTTATATTTTCTATGACATAGAGTATATCATTTCCTATACCTTTTTCCGCAATTGTGTGTTAATATAATTTGTTTTTTAATGGATTCCACAGTGATATATAAGCTTTATATTTACTAAAATTTTTTTTTATTTAATTAATGGCTTTGAACTAAAAAATTAATTTGTATTTTTCATAATATTTGTTTTGTTTCAGCCAGCAAAAGTGACAGCTCATTGGCACAAAGGTACTACATACATGGTTAAATTTGATGATGCTGTTGTAACTAGAGATAAAAATTTAGAAGAAAGATAATTGATCATCAAGCATCAAGTGTGCATTATTGTGGATATTAGATCATAAGTGTGTATATTCTGCATAATAGTCTTATAATAAATGTTAATTTATACCTTATATTAATAAAAATTTATGTATAAAATGTGGTTTTACTGAAAATTTTTTGTTTAAAATACAATTTTAAAGTATAACCTACATTAAAATAGTTTTATACCTTTCAATTACTCCTTTACATACCATCAAAAGTAATTTGTACCGGGTGGTCCAGTAAGCCGATCTCTCGGCTATATATCTATTCATGTTAACTATAACTATAACTATTCATGTTATAACTTTAGGAGAAAAAATTCCTTAGTAAAAGTGGCCAAGAGAAATCGCTGGAAATAACTTTCAAGATTCTGGATTAACCGCTAGGGGGCGTAACCTGCGAAGAAAATTTTGACAACCAGTTTTTTCGGAAATATGTCCAATTATACCAAGTGTTAAATAAGTAAACTAGAAAGAGGCATAAATTCTGCACAAAGTTGTTCAAGTACTTTCTTTTATTTTTTCAAATAAAGGGTGGGGGAGAGTGGGAAAGTATTTGTGGATAAATACCTATAACTTTGGTTTGGATCACTGATTTTAACAAAATTAGTGTCATTAGAAAGAGTATGGATGAGGTTAATTTACATCTACTATAAAAATAATTGCATTTAGTTTTAATTGTCGTAAGTAGAGGGTACTTTCGAATATGAAAAAAATTTGTTTTCTTCAAAATTTTTAATGGAAAACACGTATTTATTGTTAAATTATAATGAAACTGTATTAAATTCGTAACAAAATGGCGCAAACCGCATGTTAATAGCTTTTATATAACTCGAGATATGAATAAAAACGCATAAACATAAGTAAGTATAGTATTGACACACCCTGTATTATAAAATAAATTAAAAAATAAGTCAGTAGGTACTTTCAAAATTTTTCATAGCAGAAAACTCTTAATATTGATACCTATTTTGACCATTGTTATTTCATATGATTAAAAATTGTTTTTTCGAAACTAAGTAGGCTACGACAATGAATTTGACAGGGAGTTCATATTGTTTATTTATTGACAGCAGTCAAAATATTGTTAAGAAGTGTTATATGTATTATAATTCGAATTGAAAATTGCATTTTTTTCAATAGATATTAATATTGGTAATATTAGTAATTAATTATCAGTACTAATTATTCGAATGAGTATATCAATTTGTATGATATGATTGGAGTTTATTTCGAATATCACCAAAATGGCGCTATTGCCTCACGTATATATTCTGTAAGATATCCTGGCAGGAGATATTGTGGCAAAGAAGTAGAGATTTCGGATTTATATGTGGATTCTGTTGAATTAAAGCAAGAACATTGATTGCATTATCTTCGGTCATAACTCTACTACGTCGTTTAAAATAAGGACGAGAAAAACTACCAGTTTCTCTTAATCTTTTTGCCTTTCTTTCAAATACTTTTTTGCCATAATGTCTCCTGTCAGGATATCTTACAAAATATATACGTGAGGCAATAGCAGCATTTTTGTGACATTCGAAATAAACTCCAATCATATCATACAATTTGATATACTCATCACGAATTATTTGTACTGATAATTAATTACTAATATTACCAATATTAATATCTATTGAAAAAAGTGCAAAAATTCGAATTATAATATAGCACTTCTTAACAATGTTTTGACTGCTGTCAATAAATAAACAATATGAACTCCCCGTCAAATTCATTCTCGTAGCCTACTTAGTTTCGAAAAAAACTATTTTTTACAAAATAGGTATCAACATTAATATTCTTCTGCTATAAAAAAATCTGACTTATTTTTTAGTGTAATTTATAATACAGGGTGTGTCAATACTATACTTACTTATGTTTATGAGTTTTTATTCATATCTCAAGTTCAACAAAAGCTATTAACATGCGGTTTGCTCTATTTTATTTCGAATTTAATCCAGTTCCATTATAATTTACAATAAATAGGTAGTTTATTTACAATAAACAGGTAATTTTGAAGAAAAACAAATTTTAATTTTTTTTATTTGAAAGTCCCATCTACCTACGACTATGAAAACTAAATGCAAGTATTTTATAGTAGATGTGAATTAATTTATCCGCACTCTTTCTAATGACACTAATTTCATTAAAATCGGTTGATCCAAACCAAAGTTATAGATATTTATCCACAAATACTTTCCCACTCTCCCCCACCCTTTATTTGAAAAAATAAAAAAAAGTACTTGAAGAACTTTGTGCAGAATTTATGCCTCTTTCTAGTTTACTTATTTAACACTTGGTATAATTGGACATATTTCCCAAAAAACTGGTTTTCAAAATTTTCTTCGCAGGTTACGCCCCCTAGCGGTTAATCCAGAATCTTGAAAGTTATTTCCAGCGATTTCTCTTGGCCACTTTTAATAAGGAATTTTTTCTCCTAAAGTTATAACATGAATAGTTTCTGATATATAGCCGAGAGATCGGCTTATTGGACCACCCGGTACATGATTGAAAAATCCACAGATACACTGTATTAGAGCTTTTAACAATGCTCCAGAGAGCTAGTGAACTTTGGAGAATTATAGCCTTATCATGGTAAGGGCACACATCCCTGTCTGAGTATTTTGATACCAGTAGTGGAAATTAAATGAACAAGGATAAAAAACAAAATAGAGACAAAAGCTCAGGAGAGAACTTAGAAATGAATAATTTTTGAGCTTGTAACTAAAATAACAACACAAATGATCAGAGAGGCTACTTCAGCTACAGACTCTGTATCTGCCCCAAATACTAAGTTAAGGTGTTCCAAGAGGAACACACTTCACTAATTATCAAAAAACGCTCCTCTGGGGCTCAACAAAGAAGGATGAAGAGAGAAGCAAAATGACTGCTGGGACATGGCCTACAGCAAATCACTACAAAGCCTAGGGCTCTAACGAGCAGATTCGATCATATAGGAATGTTACAAAGAATTCAGAATAGTGGTGGTACATAAACATCATTCTAATACTTCACTAGATCAGGTTCAAGCAAACCTTATCATTAAAAAACTGGAACAAGCAGTTGATTAAGCTCCTATCGGGGGCCAGAATCAACTTATTCAATACCATAAAATATCGATCGTTTAATGCAGGGACCCCGTGAGTGAACTGTGCTAACGAGTATACAACAAAATGGACTACGGAGGTGGTGAGGACTATGGAGGGTCTGTGAGAATGACCAATATTAAATATAATCAATTCCAATAATATGTCAAGACCAAGTGAAAATTATCCACCCAGACGAACCCTATTAGCGACACCAGTAGGAAATAGGAGTAGACCAGGACTGAGATGGAGGGATGGCATGGACGAGGACGCGAGGAATATCAGCACCACTGATGATGATGATCCGAATACCCAAACATCCCATGGTCCTCACCCGCATCCCCGAGAAAGCCACTAATAACAAAACCATCAGAACCGGTCTGAAGAGGCGATACTTATTTATTTAATTAACGGATATACCATTTTTACATAAATATGACGTCAACCTTTACAAAGCTTAGGTATACATAGGTTGCGTTAATAATAAAACAAACCAAAATTAAAATCAAACAAAATTCAATTAAAATGGTAGCTTAAGGTATTAAATAATGCTCAAAATCGCTCAAATGATTTCTTAAATGCTGCTGTAGATATTCCAAATAACTCTAAATTATTGCTGTGCTCATTAGCAGTTCGTAAAATTCTTGTAATGGGTTCATTTTGGCCATAATTCGTACTGTGGAATGGAATGTTGAAAATCTCAGTGTTACGAGTTTTTCTAGTATTAACATTAAAACTTATTAAACTTAGTAACTCTGGATCTTATCTATTTATAATTTTAAAAAGGAAACATAAATCCGCTTGACATCGTCTAGCATGTAGTGATGAGATATTTAGTATTGACAGTATATCATCATATGTGTATTGCTGTCTAAGAAAACCAATTTTGTAAGCACATACCCTCAAGAATTTATTTTGAACTCTCTCGATACTGTAGATGTCACTGTTATATGAAGGAGACCAAATGAGAGAACCATACTCCAAAACTGATCGAACTAAACTAAAGTATAACATTTTTAAAGTTTGTATTGAAAACTGATTACAGTTTCTAAGAATAAATCCTAACATTTTTAAAGCTTTAGCTGAAGTTTCGTTAATGTGATTTTTAAAAGTAAGTTAAGAATCACAATTTATACCTAAATCTTTACTATTATGACGTGCCTCTAAAGGTACATTATTTATATAATAATCATAATTTACAAACTCTCTTAATCTTCCAAAAGTAATTTTAAAACATTTTTGTATATTTAAGTATAGCATGTTTACCTCACACCAACTATCTAAGCTTTTAATGTCATTCTGTAATAAAGAGGCATCAACTAGGTCATTAACTATTCGAAATATTTTAAGGTCATCAGCAAACATTAGAAATTTACTATTTTTAATCACTGAGGATATATCATTAACAAATATATTAAATAAGAGAGGCCCAATATGCGACCCCTGAGGAACTCCTGAGGTTACAGATACTCGTTGAGATAAACAATTTCCATATTTAACATACTGACATCTACCAGATATATAACTACCTATCCACTCAATTATTTTACCTCCAAATCCATAGCCATTTAATTTAGCAATAAGCAGATCATGGTTAACTCTATCGAAGGCTTTTGAGAAGTCTGTGTAGATAGCGTCAACCTGACCCTTCTGTTCCACTGAATTAGCTATAAAATTCGTATACAATATTAAGTTCGTGCATGTAGACTTACCCTTAGAAAAGCCATGTTGTCTAACATCAATTAAATTTTTACAATTCCATGTCAAAAAGTTACTTACAAGACACTCAAAAAGTTTGGGTAATACAGATTGGCTACAAACCGCACGATAATTCTCAACATCATTTTTTATTACCAGACTTGAAAATTGGTGTTAAATAACTAGTCTTCCAAAGATCAGGAAAGATGCCGGTACTCAATGAGGAATTAAATAAGTAGCATATAGGTTTTTACAAGAGTGAAAATGCAATGCATGAGAACATAAACTGGCAAACAATCTGGTCCAAGCGATAATTTCCAAGGCATCTT